CGGCCCAGTGGGATATTTCCCCCTAGCCCCCCTGGCCAGTCCACAGTCCATCCCTGYCTAAATCAAGTATACAACATTATACATGTACTAGGTATAGTCTACAATATTATACATGATAAAACTAATATAATATAYCGTCTACGTAGGTACTAGGTACTACCAAGTTCCAGTAGTTAGTCTTTAGATATCATTATAATCTTTTAAAATAGTGTTATTTTTGTACTTAAGCGTGTAGCGTGTTTATGTATTCATATCACAATCACATAAAGACGTAAAAATATGTAAATAATGATAACAGTTTATTCCTTTATGTCAAAACGCACGTCATCACACTTATTGACTAATGGCATGTACGCATGTAGGATGTACACATATTTTTGGTGATAATTATTTTTACCTATGCAATCTATTTTTTCTTATATCCTTGTGTACCCAATAGTTAAAACATCGTTGTTTATATTTAGGATATATTCCAATTGTCACGTATTGCATACAAATTATTTAGAGTAGAGGTAGTATATTTTTTTTAGCTTGAAAATTTAATTAAAGGTTCTTTATAATTTTATAAAATAGCAGTTGAAAAATATTTGATACTTAGTACTTACACATGATTTTATTTTAAATGCATTTTATAAGTTCTAGTTTTAATTTTGATAAAATTCATCAAAATATCGAAAATTTGTATTATCTCGTTGGCATTCGTAATTTGTACATCGATTCATTTTCTTTTCTTACAATTTTTTTTTATTTTCTGGATTAATTTTCTCTTACAAGTCGAATTGTATTGAGAACTTGTTTTTCTTGGTGCCATATTTAAAATAATATAATTATTGTAGCCTGTAGGTAAATATAAAAAAAATTATTACAGTTAATTTATTAATCATGTAGGTACTAAAATCGAATATGAACTATAGCCTATAGGTACTAAATAACACTGAATACAACTGAAAAAACCAGTACCGTTTTAATTGCATCGCGTGGATGTTGTCCTACAACACAATTATAAATAATACAATAATAATATTTTAAATTTTTATAGTAAGCGCGATTAATATATTAAGAACATAAAACATTTTTCGATTTTAATTGTGAATTGGATACAAAAATAACGGGCTAAAAAGTGTCATCACTCATCATCTTATTTTCTTAGTTTTCCCTTGTATTTTAAATATTATAATATYGTACATAACAGTATTGACCCTAGGGCCTAGAGTAATGTTATGGTCGTTATGAACCATTATAATATTTCCATAGACATGGGGATATCAAAGTTGGGGAAGTTAGTAAGTTTTCAACTAGTTCAAGTTGAGATAATTTATTATAAAAACTAATTTAATTAGAATATAAGTTAGTTTCTGGAATTTTCGGAATTTTCCAAATTACTAAGTTAGTTAGAAGTTAGTTTTTTTTTTTAAATTAGATTTAAAAACTGGTTTGTTCAAATGTAAATAATAAGTTATCTACTTAAATGATTGATGATGATAGAAAAATTAAATTAAACTCATTCTTGATTTGATAACTTATGTCAGTTATTAATTTACTAACCTCACTGTATTATGTTATAAAATTATAGCAGTAGTAATATTTTATTCAAAATATTGAATTTTAATAAAAGTGCTATTTCAAAATTGTCATAAGATTCGCACCTTTCATCAAATAATTGGTCTCCTACACTAAAAAGTCTTTCAGTATGAGCATATGGGATACTTGTGTTATAGGTACTTGAAGTATAATTTTTTTATTTCCTTTGAAAACTCAATATTATATATAGGTAATAGGTACATTATACAAGCCAAAATCAGTGAAATAAGAATTGATTATAAATAAAAAGTCAAGAAATATATTTAACAAAAAAATCAATAAAGTACTAAATACACAATATTAATTACTAATGCATTATAACTAGTTGTTTTTAATTTTAACAAGTTAAATTAGAATTATTTAATACCTACATTAAATTCAACTCGTTAAGTTAGAAACCTACTTATTATTTATAAAAACTATAAAGCCATAATATAGATATCTATTATGTCTATGATAAAAACTAACTAGGTAAGTAGTGCCCACTGGCCCAGTTTTGGGAAAAATGGGAAATATTCAAATATATAAAAGTTGTAAAATATTAAGGTATATAAATGTTTATGTATTATTATTACGTTTATAGAAGATATTCATAGACTAAAGAGTGGCTTCATAACAATCCTTCGGGCACTCTAGATATTCACCACTAGCGGCGCCATCTAACGTCGTTTTTCGTAACTAACTAATGTTTACAATACCGATGTATGATCCAACGATGGCCGGACTGATTTTGATTAGCCGACGCCGTTTTGTTTATGATGTGCGTTTCGTTATCGTTACCAAAGCTCCGGATGCCGAAGCCGAACTCGAAAACTGTCATGTTCTAAAATTCTAGATTAGAATTCTGAATTAGTAATTACTTTTTAGTTTTTACTGAACAGTGAATTGATTATCTTCATTAAACGGATTCGATTAATCTGCGTTTACCCTCGACTTCCAACATATCTTCGTCTGTACATAACTAATTAGGTGAGTACGTTTGAGGACTTGAGGTTTTCATATTCCACAACATTGTTGGCGATGTGTTTTCTTATAAATTAAAGTTTGAAACACGTCATTTGACTTTCCTCATCAAGCTTTTGGCACATTAAATCTTCTCTACCTGACCATATTGCAGATGTCACTTCTATGAAATAATATTTATTTCTATGCACTTTATGACCCTATTTTGCCTACAAGTTAGCTAAGGCTTTTAAAAAAAATATCACGCACACATTTACGAGTATTTTTTTTACTTCAAATTTCACTGTTAAAAGAGTATTTGTCAAGTATCATATGTATATAAATAATATGATTTATAGACTTATATATAGTATTTAATATGTAAATAATATTAAAAATTATATAAYATATCAACAAATCTTTTTATTTTAATATTATTCTACAATTCATTGTTTGGCTTAACATTATTTTATTCATTGTATTATACAATTATATATCGTTTTAATTGACAAATTATTTCTAGCTTATAGAAATTGTGTTAAAATGTTGGACACTCGTCCAAATCATACCATCTATATTAACAACTTGAATGAAAAAATTAAAAAAGATGGTAAGTTTTTATTGGAGTCAATTTTAATAGTTTAATAATAGTTGTTCAAAACAAATGTTTTGTTCTTAAACATGTTATGATTATTGACATTAATTTTAAAATTTTATTTTTAAAGACTTAAAGAAATCTCTGTATGCAATATTTTCACAATTTGGACAAATACTTGATATTGTAGCAATGAAAGGTATTAAAATGAATGGACAAGCATTTGTTATATTCAAAGATATAACCAGTTCTACAAATGCTTTACGTGCAATGCAAGGATTTCCATTTTATGATAAGCCTATGGTAAGTATTAATTCAGTAATCCCTCGTTACCCGCGGAGGTTAGGTTCCAGCAAAGTTGTGCGGATAACGAGACCATAAAGCAATGTAAAATAGGAAGTTAGGTTATATTTACATGCAATTTTTAATTTTTATTATTTTGTTCACATTTTGTATTTAATTTTAAAAATCACAAAAAGGTTAATATTTTTTACAATTACCTATTTAATTATTTATTTTTTGAATATAATTTATTAATTATTTATACATACATAATAATATATTAAGAAGGATGAAAACAATTTGTAATTCACGAGGTAATTCATGTTTATTAACTGAACAATTTTTAGATATAACAAATTAACCGTACATATTTAGGTATGTACTTTATGTAGCTTATCTGTTATAAGTATGGGTATAATAAAGATACAATTTCATCGTATGTATTAACAAAATGTTATCGCCGACCCAACCGCGGATAATCGAAACCGCAGATTAAAAATCCGCGGATAACAAGGGATTACTGTACCAAATATATTATAGTCTGTTATATCTTATATAGTATCAGTGTTTAGAAAGATTGTGTTTGTGACATAACTCACTTATATCAAATGAAATTTGTTTTTAAACTGCAACACTGCATACAGCTAGATCTTCTCAAATTTAAATGCCATGCTGTAACCTTTTTTCTAGTATTAGTTATTATATTTTATAGAATTTAATTCTATAGTCAATACAAACCAAAAATTCAGACTTTTCACTTCTTGTCATTATACTTAATAATATGCTATATAAGTTTCAAGGAAGAAAAATTATTTGTGGATATGAACACTGATACTAGTTTAATAAACTTAAATAAAAAAATGAATGTTACCCTATATAATGTATTTAATCAAACAATACAGTATCATTGTTAGGAGAATGATGTTCATTTTATTTTTCAGCGTATACAATTTGCTAAATCAGAATCAGATATAATTGCAAAAATGAAAGGTACTTTTGTTGAGCGCCAGAAAAAACCCAAGAAGCCAAAGGATGATGAAGAAGCAAAAAAGAGACGTAAAGCAGCTAAAGAACAGGCTCGTGCTTTGGCACAACAAAACAACCCAGGAGGTGTATCTGGTGGTAGTGAGTGTTATTTATACTTATCATATTTTACTTTAATTGTATTGTCATTGTATTAAAACTAATCCTTGTTTTTCAACAGATGTACCTGAACAACCACCTAACCAGATTCTCTTCTTGACCAACCTTCCTGATGAAACGACTGAGATGATGTTATCTATGCTGTTCAACCAGTATGTTTTGTATGATTTTTTTTTATTATATTGAGTTTAATATGAATTATTTTAATTTTTGCAGATTCCCTGGATTCAAAGAAGTGCGACTTGTACCAAACAGACACGATATTGCTTTTGTTGAGTTTGAAAATGAACACCAATCAAATACTGCCAAGCTATCATTAAATGGTTTCAAGATCACACCTACTCATGCGATGAAAATTACATTTGCTAAAAAGTAAAATTGTTCACGATGATAAATGCACTGATCATTTGTGAAGTAACATAACATATATATTATTATATTTGTATAAGTATTCAAGATTACAATAAAAAAAAAAAAAATATTTCAAATTATACTAATAGGGATTTATGTTTTTTTATAAGAATTTAAATTTGGTGGCGTCATTGAATGTGGCGTAGGTTTATATACAGTACTCCAAAATACTATTGTATCACTTTCTACGTGATGAATAAAAAATATAAATGGCTTGTTTACATTAAAAATAGTCTGGCCTCCTCTAGTTATAGTTACTACAGTAGCTGCTGACGCCACTGTACCAATTTCATTGACATCAATTTCAACTTGGTGTAAAATGTCACTAATGTAAGTGCCCATATCTGTAGCCATATTTGATAAATCAGCCTTTGTAGGGTCAAACATTTTGTTAATCCCTAAATTCTAAAAACAAAGATAACACACATTAAAGTTAAACTTTATTGAAAGCTAATTGAAATATGTACCTGCAAAACTGGTCGTAGATTGGTCAAAGACTTGAGAGTCATTTTAGGCACAAAATATGTCAATTCTGTGAGTTTTGTATTGTTGGTTATGTTTCTGACTGTTTTTCCATTCATTTTTGCTACTAAACTGCTTAAACTGACATTTGTGTCGGGAAGCACAAAATATGTTATAAATCGATTGCCTTTATATGGTAGCCCAATGGCTTTAAACTCTAATGCTTCATTTTTATGAAACAGTACTTCACTACTGCCTACCATCATTGGGACGTATATGCAATCCTTGTTTTGTCTAGGTGATTTTCTATCACCAGTGATTGATCCATAATAAAATGGTTTTCTAAAATAAAATATGATATTTATCATTACAGTTAATATTTAAATTAACATTTTAAATAATTTTACTTACATTCTGGTATAATTAATAAAAAATGGGTTCTCCCATTCACCTGTGAAATATAAAGCACTTGCAATAATAGTCTTGGTATCAGCTGGAGGAATTTCAGGCAATATATCATCAATTTTTCCACGGGTTTGATTAGACACCCATCTATTAAAATTTAAAAACAATTGTTACTAACCATAATAAATTTAAAGAAGTTAAATATATTAATTGTGTTATGTATTCAAATTCAAAGAGATATATTTAATTTAAAATTAAGTTAACAAATTTACTTTGAAATTGTAGATACTAATTTTGATAAATCATTAAAAATAAGTTGTATGATTCTTTGGTTTCTCCTTTTATTGTGTGTTAGTAAATTTCMAATGATTAATGAGTAATTAATGAATTATTTTAGTACCGCAATTAAATAATATGTATTTGTGATGAAATAATTAATAATACATTTTATAAAACAGAATGATAGTATAATTTGTTATGTTCAGCAAAATAAAATAAAATAATACACATTTAAACTTCATGAAAATTATATAATAATTTAAATTGATAAATTTCAATACATAAAATATTATTAATTTAATTTATCAATATTAAAGGATTAAGATTATGTATATTTRATTACAAAAATTAATTAGTGAAATAATTCATTATCTATGATTAATTAATCATTGAATTAATTATAGGGTCCCAAGCTTATACAGTTATACCATAAAAATCTAAAATAAATTCTTACATTTATGTTAAAGATCTTCAGAAATATGATATATTATACASGTAAAAGTAATAGAGCAGACTCTTGACTTATATTACAAGTTTATAAATATATAAAAATAAATATTTGGTAATTTAAAAAGATTAAACAGTTATAATTAAAACCGAATGTATTGATGAAAATTAATTACCTACAATTTTATGACTTACTGTATTTCATCATAATATATATGGTTTGTGATTAATACATACTGGTTTATAATGTGTTTTGCATGTACTCCATCTKATTTGAAATTAACTGTAACCAATTTAGTATTTAAATAATCTTCAGCTGCTTTTATAAAGTTTTTTGTAATATTATAGCCATTTTGAACAAACATTGCTTTTGCCAGGTTAACTTCTGTGCCCAATTTTTCACCAGAGTTGGCTTGAAAGTAATTTAATAATAATCCCAAATCCTTGAAATTTTGGTTATTACTATAAATATATATAAAATATTTTTATGGTTTAGTAACAAAATAAGATGTACAAACTCTCACTTCTCAGATAAATGGATTGTTGTCATCTCATCGTAACCAAACAATTTACCAACTTCTGTTTTAGTCTCACCATGAGCTCCCAGAAGGACAAGTGACAAAGCAGCCGCTATACTTATCGGTGATATAACTATATTATGATCTTGACTAGAGCTATGTGATTGCAAACTTTCAATTGATCTGTCAATATTTAATGTCGCATCGAATAAACCTAGTATCAATACCTGAAATTTCAAAATATAACTAACAGCAATTCCATTATAAAATTAGGGATAAAATAATTTACGTCTGCCTTTGAAGTTGAGTTTTGTACGTGTTGATGAATTGTTTCATTCATAGGTTTAGTTTCATTCATAGTTTTAGTTTCATTCATATTTTGTGTTTCATTCATTATTGTATTTATGTGCATAGGTTTAGTTTCATTAGTAATTTTATCTAGGAATATAGAATTCATAGGTCTAGTTTCATTGGAAATTTTATCTAAGAYCATAGAACTTAAAGGTCCAATTTCATTCATAGTTCCAGTTACATTCATAGCTAAGGTATCATTAAAAGGATCTTTCTTCACCATAGTATCCATAAAAATGATTTTACTGCCATCCACTATTGACAGTAAAATGTAAATATTTAAACTTAACAACAACATTATTGACCACATCTAAAAATATACAAATACATGTAGTTTTTACAGGTAAATTATAAATAAAAAAAAATATGTCAAAACTAAACAATCAATTAATAGATAGACCATTTTATTTCCAATTAAAATAATGCCTACATTTTCTACATTGCTTATATTGAACATTTGTGTTTATAAGTGCAGAGTTACAATCRTGATTTGAATATTTTAGGTGTAATTAAATTGATGATTAAATATCTGATCACAAGTTTGACAGTGTCTTTGGTTTCATTTAATTTAGGAGAAAATTATTTATACGTGTATAATAAATACTTAGAGGTAGTATAATGTAATCCTTAAATTATTATAATTCAGTTTATAAACAATAATAATATGCGTGCCTAAGTAAAACATATATTTGACATATATCATATTTTACATATTCTAAATTTATAACATATTTAAAAAAAAAAAAATCCCATTTTAAACATACCCAAGGTACTCACACTATTAGAATATTATAAATATACATTATTATTAATATTTGAAAACTTAAACATTAAAGTATACCTCTGCAGTAGGTCCGACAGTGGTATCCTATGTAGATAATGTGGAGTTCACGTTGTACGGCGCGAATTCATTAAATATTACTGATCGATTCTCAATCCAATACCTATTTAATAATAATACTTGTATAGTAGTAGAAATGATAATAATGGTCAAGGTCTGACGTGTGTGAGTGTGTGTATGTTCGTACCGAGTGGTGGGGTCGTAGTGTGCAGGAGCGTATCACTACGGTGGATCGTACAGGAATGATTCGTTTTGTTTTTGTCTTCCTGTAATTACACATTATATTAAATAAGTATAATGTATATACATAATATATTTATATATATTATTATACTATATACACAATATAATATCGGCGATGTTGGGCGCTCGTAACAAAAAAAACTCGTTTTTGCACGTTGTAAAACTGTAGTACATTTTACTGTTCCATTTCGTGTGTATTCGACGTGTAATAATAATATTATTTATATTTTAATATTACCTGCGCATAGCAGTATCCTACTTTTTTCTGAACTTGATAAAATGATAAATAATTACTAACGTGTATACTACTTATGTAAACTTCGTGAATTCGTGATGCGCTAGGGGGAGCTTAAAAAAATTATATTTATGTTATTATTTTATAATATTGACGAACCACACGAATACGGCACCACAACAGTGGATAGTCTACAAATCGCAATGCAATCAATATGGAGTATGAAATATAATTTACGCAACGTGTGCTAATACGTCGTAGATTTAATAAATAATATAAAACATAAACCCATTTCTACATATTTTAGAGCGAATGAATATTGAATAGGTAATAGGTATTGAATAATTCATATTATAATAAATACTATTGTGTCGGACGTTTTAATCGTAATTTTGTTGTCTCGCCGTTTCTCGAATCTTTTACATCGACCTCGCGAGTCTCGATATTGTAAAATCACAACAAATCTGAAACGATTTATAAAATCAGAGTTTAGAACAATACAACTACGAGTGTTATGATGAATACCAATCGTCTGATCACCAACATTTTACCAACCACTTGCAGTCTCGGAAGTTTTTATTTCATTAACCTACGCGTTATTATAAAATAATTAAGGTGATGCAAATAAATAATAATTACAAATAACTCTWATACGAGTAAGCATATGAGTGAAACAAACACRATTTTTTTGCACATTCCCATCAAAACGTACCTATAGGTCACCAATTTTTCATGGTTTGTCATACTATGTTTGAGGGAATAATTACGGTGCTAGAGGGAGAGGGGGCTTTACAATTGTTCGCTATATTTTAATTAGGTAGGTAGCGATACAAATTTTGTTTATGTAATTAGGATACCTCTATTATATTTCTTTT